TAATCAACAAACAATCGACAGGAACAGCATGCACACTGCTACTTCTTGGCGAGAAACCCCCAAGCCACAATACAACACTCCACCAATTAACGCCTTTCGCGAGCTAGATACCACCACCTGCTTACCCATACCTATAAATATCCACCAACAGTAATCACAATTCACACAACATTCAGCCTTGATAATATATGCAGAACGCATTCGAAACACGTCAGCCAACTCATCACTATCTACAACTTTTACCCGTTGTTCTAACAACGTTAAAATGGCTTATTGACTTCTTGAGAAGAATTCTAAGAAGAAAGTAAACCTACAGACATCAGTCTTGTTTAACAAAATCATTTGTTGTGTAGTTCAATTGTTTTGAATTGATGTCATTTTACTTGAACTTTCTAAATAGCTCTTATTGCTTTATTCAAGTATTGTTGTATCATAATTTTCATCATATTCTAAGACAGTTGAAATGTGTGTTGTTTGTTTATTGTTGAAATTTATCGCAAACAAGTCACAGATACCTACTGTAAAGAATTGCAGCCCTATAAAACCTGACAATGTTAAAAAGCAGTAAAGTAGACGTGAATGACAGTGGAAGCAGGCATATATACTCACAACCACGCTATTTAACCATGTCGACTGACTTTGATAAGTGGACAGAGAAAGGTGAGTGACTTGGACTCAAAGATAGTGATCTATGAGAGTTTGTTAAACAAGAACTAGAGAGAGAAGAGCATCAACAGAAGAGAGAGAGGAGGATAGGATAAGAATACAAATTGAGAGAGGAGAGACTAGAAAGAGAGAGAAAACAATAGCACAAATCGAGATAATAAAGCTAGCCCAACAGAAAAACAAAGGACCCAAGCCAGTTGACCCAAGGATCCCAAAGTCAGAACTGGGACATAGGTGACTGGGCAGTCTCTCTCAACCCACTTCTCACAGGAAAAGGCCTACAAGTCCATGCAAGCATGACGTCATAAAATACTATGGACTATGTCAAGTTAAAAGTAGCCTTGCTGAAATGCTATGAACTTACTGACTCCCTCCATGGGTTTCAATATAGTGTTCTGCCAGCTTGGTCATCTTGTCCACGTCTTTTTGTGCTCTCTCCTTTAAGAACAGTGACATATCAGTTGAGCATGTGATCATGAACTGTTCATGTATTAGTAGATCTGCCACTCCTTTAAAACTATTTTCACACTTGGTCATGTCAGGCTTGACTTTTCTGAATTTCTGGCAAAACCTTCCTCTTCTCTTTGGTCTTGTGCTCCACTTTCTCTCTGGCACTGTCCCAAAGTTTCTGCAGTGAAGGGTGTTTCTTCTGTGCTTCCTGCAGTTCCTGTAGGCCTACATTCTGGATGTCACTTTTCGAGACTTGAAGGAGCTTGGTATTTTTCTTGCTTTTCTTATCTTCAGCTCTTGTGGTGACTACAGATGTTTCATCAGTCTCCTTTCTGTCTGCTTCTTCCAAATTTCTACTGCCTAGTATAATGCTGATCACCAACTGGTATATCGTGGTTTGTTGGCACCTCTTGATGTTTGTCACATGCTCTGATCACTACTGGCACTGTTTATCCATTTACTAACTTGAGCTGGCCATCAATCATGCACTGTTTAATCATGGTGATAGCACTTCCTTATTGTTGTGATTCTGACGAGTTGTCTCCATTCTGTTTCTTCTGGCAACATCACCCATGGTGACAGTCACTCTTTTCTTGCTAGCATCATCTTTGTGGGTAGCTCCAGCTGCTTTCTGATGAGATTCTTGCTGTTGCTTGTCAGTGACAGACTTGCACTCACTCGCAATGTGCCACATTGTATAACAAGCATAGTATCTCTTTTCCCTTCTTTGGTGGCATCCTGCTTGTGGTCGGCCACCCCTGGTTTCGACTTTAAATGGTTATTCTTGGACTTGCCAGTTATAGGACTCACAGAACAAAGGATCAAAAGGGAGTTCTGTACCAGATCTATCAAGACAGTTCTACTGGGTAAGTTAACCAGATCATAGTACCAACAGAATGCTGGACTCAAGTGATGAAGTTGGCTCATGAGTCGATTGTGGAGGACATCTAGGAGCAAAAAAGACAGCAGACAGAACCACCAGCAACTTCCATCCAGGGATCATTGCAGATGTGACAAGATTCTGCAGGTCATGTGACATCTGCCAAAGGACAATATCTAGAGAGAAGGTAGCCAAAGTGCCACTAGGTGAGATGCCTCTCATAGAAGAGCCATTCAGTGGAGTAGCTGTGTATTTGATCAGACTGCTAGCACCTCTATCTGACAAGGGCAATTAGTATGTACTGACAGTAGTTGGTCATGTGATACATTACCCAGAAGCCATAGTATCACTGAAGAGAGAGTAGCAGAAGCTCTCCTAAAAGTGGTCTGCATAGTAGGCTTCTCAAAAGAAGTCTTGAGTGAGAGAGGGACCCAATTTACCTCAAAACTGATGCAAGAGGTATGCAGAGTCATTAGCACTAGGCAACTCTTTACCACCCCATACAACCCCAGATGTAATGGATTTTGTGAGAAAGTTTGTGGAGTCTTAAACAGTATTTAGTTTGATGTTAAAAAATATGTTGGAGAAGATGTGCCAAAAGAGACCGTGTGACCAGGACAGGTTCCTG